GCATGGATTTTTACCAAAACCTAATCAAATCTGCGCATTGGTCCAGAGCATCTATGCACCAAGTTTCATCAAAAACTGATGTATGGTTCTTGAGATATCAGTGGAACAGACGGACACACATACACACACACACACACACACACACACACACACATACACACATACATACAGACACACTAACTGCAAAGACTCCTATTTTGTGCTTCGCACACGGGAGTCAAAAACATTTGAACAAATAAAGCCTGCACTGCACTTTATGGTGTCTACTCAGCAAAACAAACATAGTTTTTATTGTTGTAAATTACTCACATAACACAAAAAAAGTACAAACTGAGACATCAGATAATTTCTTTGGTGATTGGGAGGTATCAAAAGGAGTCATTAGCAGTGATTAGGAGGTCAAAACTCTTACTGTTGATGTCCATTAGAAGAGTGCATTGGATTGTGGGCACATGGCACTATATGACAATCACTACCCTTTACTCAAAGACAATATCTGATTTTAATACTAATATAATAATACAACTAGTTAGAAAATGTAATAATGATATAAGCTCCCCAGAACTCACCTAAACTGTGCTTTACCACTGATTAGAGCCACAGAAAAGAAATCTCCTTTTGCTGTTGGACGTTCGCTGCTAAATAACAGTAATCCATCCAATTTAGTTGGTCTAAATTCAACTGTTATCCGGAATGTCTCATACGATGTTAACAGTTTTGGAAATGCCACATATCCAGTCCCCCAAAATTGAGGATACTTCACATTAACAGAATCTAAGTGGAAAATAGATAATCTTAAGTTATTATACCACTCTTGATTATGTGATATTTGAGATATAGGTAAATTGTCTATATATAGATCAGTAATCACCACATTTAATTTCAAATTACCCATTAGAGCACTAAGTCACAAGCCATGCATGGCACAGTCCCCGTTAGTTATCAAATTTAAGATATATAGTTTTGTTTATAGTAATATAGCTGGAATATAACCATGTCAGGAATATGATTTTTCAACATTAAAATGATATTGCTCTGAAACTGCATACAAAATCAGCCATTTTGAATAGATGTATATATATAACATGATGTATAATGAATATATAAAATTTGAATATAATCAGTCAAAGCATTTATAAAGAGATATGGCTCTAGAAACCCAATCATTAAAACAAAATGGCCGACAGTCAGCCATTTTGAATCCAATCTGAAAAATAAAATGACGTGCATCAGGAACCCGTAATGTCTAATGTATGTACCAAGTTTGAACGAAATCCATCCAGAAATGCCAGAAATGCTTGATATTTGATGATTTTTTAGCACAAAAATGGCCACCATTCGGCCATTTTGAATAGGATTGTCAAACCAATATAATATCTGTTTATCTATGACATGATGTATAATGAATATTCAAAATTTGAATATAATCAGTCAAAACAAGTCGGAGATATGGGTCTAGAAGCCCATTCATTAAAACAACATAGTTGAACTCTGGTGACCTTGCCCTTTGTTATATAATATAATTCCCTTTATCATAGTTTGTTTCAATATAAATATGCATTGTCATAATTAATTTTGAATACAAACAAGTTTTGGGGTTGAACCAACAGTGGGGAATCAGTCTACCGAATGTCCTTAAAAGATGTAAATATCTTACAAAAACATTGGTGCCTTATTTGTTTAATTATTTTAAGGGACATAATTTCCAGCTTTATTCAAAGTAATTCAGATATTTTAGTATAAAAACAAATGTCTCATTGCAAAAAAAAAAGTGTTGCATTTAGATGTGAATAGATTCATAAAACTTTAGTCCAAGTATTTTGTACAGGTGTCTGTCAAAAATTAATGATTCACTGAGACAAACATGAACTGCCTCATTGTGTGACTACTGTATTATATGAAAAGTAAAAAAAACACCCTTTATGAATAGCTATCATGTTGCAAGCTCTGCTTTGTATGCAAATCAACTTATAAATAGTTAGTTGGTGTCCAGTGGAGGGAGAAGTCAACAGTACTGTTGCCTCCTGAAAATCTACATCTTCAAACACTGCAATCTTTGAAGTGCGTTTTTAAACTATTATTATAAAAACTCTATCATTCTGTTCTAATAGCTGAAACATATTCCTGTGAGTTTTCATTGTCGAATGAA